CTCAAGAACCCACAAACAATCCTTTCTGTTTTTTGTTTTTCTACCTTTTCTTTTTTCCCTTTCCTTCTTGCTATTTCTGGTAGTAGCCTGGAAATCCATTTCTGCCATACCAGCCCCCTCGCTCCATCTCACCGCATGTTCCTGTGCCATCTACCATGTTGTTGCCCTCACATCACATCACATCACCCCAGCCGTGCCTTCGACAACCTCATATCGGGCCCCCTGCCTACCGCTCTAACAACCTTGACCAGGATTAGTACCCTGTGAGGCTCTCCATTTCAAATTAGCGTGCATCTACCCTGTGATGGCGTACTAGTGTTCTGAATTGGGTGTACACCTGTATTCTGAAATGGGTGTACACCTGTATTCTGAAATGGGTGTACACAGTACACCTGTATTCTGAAATGGGTGTACACCTGTATTCTGAAATGGGTGTACACCTGTATTCTCAAATGGGTGTACACCTGTATTCTGAAATGGATGTACGTTTTTTAGTGTACAGTGTACATTTTCACTGGTTGGCTGGGGTGCCAGTCCAACCTGAGTATGTGGAATCTACAAGCACAGAAATATATGATTGGTCAATGTCAATCATATCACAGTTGTCACAAATACAGGTAATATCTGTCGCTACTCACTTGTGTTGCGTGGTTGGTCTCTTTTGAGGCGTCTCAAATGTTGCCACTCACTTGTGTTGTTGTGTAGTTGGTCTCTCTGCAACCACATCTGTGACCGGTGCGCCTGGGGCCAATCGACCGATTCTTGCCGTCTCTAGCCGACCAGGGTTTCCTTTCACTCTCGAGCCTCTCTTGCTCGCACCTTGCTATTTGTGCTCTTCATATGTATTCTCCGCCATCCACGCTCTTGCATGCCCATAAAGCGACAAAAGCCCACGATGGGGAAGCGTTCTTTCTCGTGTCGCTCATCCACGTAGAGAATCCCATGCCTTCGTGCCTTGCCCAATAAGTCTAGCATGCCAGCCTTGCCAGCCTTTGTTGTCTTTCTAAATTCGATACATATCACTCCATTCCACCGCACCTTCCCACTGCATTTTGCACCCATATATTTGCCTTCCAAAGCTGCATGCCATGGTCCAGCGTCCATGGTTCCATACCATATGCTCCCTTTGCTGCTGTGTGCCCTCCATGACACCCCGCCTGCGCTGCTCACCGTGCCTTGCCAAGCCCACCGGACCCTGCGTGCCTCTTCTTTAGGAATAAGCAAAACAATACGTGGAATTCTATCTATCACTCCTTTCCGGTGCACCTCTCCGTCCCTCTCCACCTCTCCCTCCCACTCATTCACGAGACTTCCTTCTCAATATGCACATATTTGTTTTCCTCGTTTGACCACTCCACTCCTCCAACCCTCACTGCCTTCCCCTATCCCCTGCACCCGATGCCTTGCGAGGCAGTGAGCTGCAGAACAACAAGCTGAGTGGGCCTGTTCCTGCTGAGCTGGCTGCTGTCTTTTCTTTAACTCAAATGTGAGCCTTGGGCTCGATGGATGGAGCATGGTCATGTGCGGTTGGGTGGGGTGTGGCCTATAGGGTTTGGGGTGTGGCGTATGGAGTTTCATGGTGTTCTGTAGCGCACAAAGCGGAGAGAGTAGCGAGAGTTCGAAGAGCATTACCGCATGTCGTTCCTTCCACTCTGTCACATTGAACCAATATCTGTGTGTACCTCTCATTTCTGAACCTTCCTTCAACCCTACTGCATCAACACTCGTGCATGAGTCAAAGTGCATGATTTGCCGGTGCGTCACTAACTTCGGGCAAGGGGTATGAAATCTGATGAATGACACTCCTATGTTCCTGCTGCCACATCCTATATCGGGATGCAGATTGCTTACTCATATCTCCTTTTCCTTGTAGATGTCACCTTTGCTGTCTCTTTACTCCTCACGCCCAACATCCCCTCCCAGACGTTTGCAGAACAACACTCTCAGTGGAACCCTTCCGGACCAGTGGACACAAACCTATCTTACAGAGCTGTTAGTCTTTTTTTTTTCCTCCTAGTCTCCTTCGTCTCTTTCTCTTTCAAACGAAACTATGTTTCGATGGCCAGGGCAAGAAATTACCCTTTACCGTCGCGATTTTGCAAGATTGTGTCACTGATAGTACAAATGTTTTATTCAGGGAGGGAGAGATGGTTTGTATGCTGAGTTTCAGGGGAAAAAAATCAGCAGTACTTGCAGATGCGGATAACTCCCCTGGAGTTTTCACGGTTAGGACCCCTGAAATGTTGATAAAATCGTTGGCTAGAATCGTCCTGAAATTGTGGCTGCGAAGATCCTGCAAGGCTGCAAGCAACATGACGTTTATGCCGCTTCTAGCAATAGCAGTCGAGATAGCTGTTTTGAGTTGAGCATGAGTTACGAAGGTGAAAGGGAAATGAGATTCGAAAGGTCTCCCATTGCTGTTGTACTCATGCCGACGTGAAAGCTACGAACTGTGCATGGTCGAAGGAAGGAAAGGGTTGGGTTTGGGAGGAGGTGTGAGGTGATGTGCGGTGGAAGAGGAGAGAGAGGGGGGGAATTTGAGTTTTGGTCGGATCTCAAAAACCGGTTTCACAGAATCCCGCAAATTGCGGCAACATTTTATTCTGTGTGTGTGTGTGTGTGTGTGTGTGTGTGTGTGTGTGTGTGTGTGTGTGTGTGTGTATGTGTGTGTGTGTGTTTTCATATTCCTCCGTTTTTGATGGTCTGCCCGTCCAAGCGTGTTTGTGCCCGTATCACGTTTTTCCATCTATATGTAAACGAATATATGTGATACGCTACGTTTGTTTCCAGCATAGCCCTACTCTCCACCACATGCCCCATACCTCTCGGTATGGGCAACCCCCAGCTCGATAAACTAGCTGGTTCAATAAACTTATCGTGGCTGTAAACTTCATGGCTTACCAGCTCTTGACAATGCCGTGCAAAAGCAATCTCACAGTTTCCACTATCTAGCCAGCACGCTTCGTGGGAACATTATAGGCACACACTTTCACCTCCAATACTGTGGTGCCCGTTTCCGAGTGTTTGGAAAAACCGCGAACCCCATTCCTATATCCCCCATGTTGCTGCGCTTTGCCATCCCTCAGGGACATCAGTTACAACCAACTGACTGGCACGATTCCTTCGGCAATTGGGAACATCCCCCATCTGGGCATACTGTAAGTGAGGTCACCCAAGTGCTGGCTCCCCTGAGCAATGAAATCCCATGGATTAGACATGGGCAATGAACTGAACTTTCGTTGGGTTCGACCGAACCGGCTGGACCATTGGTCAAACCTAACTCTGATTTGGGGGGAAAATGTGAGCACGAAAATGGGGTCCGAGCGAGGTAGGCAGGAAAATGCTCAAACGAGTTTAGGGTTGGAATTCGGTTTCGTTTCTCGAATTATCAGTCTACATATAGCATTGCATTTTGCCCACCATCTGTTTCAGATCTCGTGGAGAAATGTCAGATCTTGCGGCGCATTGCCAGATCTGGCGGCGGAATGCCAGGTCTAAGATGTTTGTCGGAAAACGATGTTGGTGTTAATGTGACTGAAATGAACCAAGTAGTTTGGTCGAACCGTTAAATGTTCAACCAAACTTCTGCATTTTGTCAGGGAATGACGAACCTCGAACAATGATAATCTAAACAAAGTTCGGCCGAACATCTTAGGTTCGGCCCGAACCCATTCAGGTCCTGTTCATGCTCAAGTTTACCATGCCTCACTAGAATGCCTGCACATGCCTGCACCATCCCTGCTGTGCTGTCTCCTCACGCACCCCATTCTATCTGCAGCATCGTGTGCACACATCACCCCAAACCAGGCCATGGTCCATGCGTTTCATATGCATCCATGTCCATCTATGCCTGCATGTCACCTCCGTCTTTTTTTTGGCATCCAATTTTGTGCAGGCATGGACACAGAACTGAAACAAACACTGCGAACTCAATGCCTCTATGTCCCATGTTGCTGTGCTGTGCTATCCCTCAGTGACCTCAGTGGCACGATTCCTTCAACAATTGGGAGCCTCTTTGAGCTGCGCATATTGTGAGTGAGGTCACCCAAGAGCTGGCTCTCCTGTGCAATGCAATGCAATGCAATGAAATCCAATGCAATGCAGTGCCATGGATATCTGCCATGCCACATGACTGCACTGGACATCCTACTCACTGGAATGTCCACATACACATGCCCAGCTGTGCTGAACCCCCCACGCACCCTTCTGCGAGAATCCTGTGCGCTGTATCACCTAAAGCCAAGCCATGCATTCCATATCCACTCTCCAGTTCGCTTTCCTGATCGTGCCTAATTCCGTGTGATCAGCTTTTCATTGATCATCTTGTTCCTTGGATATGGTCTCTGCATCTCTACCTGCATCCCTCTTGTATCTCACTCATCCTACCTCCTCCCTTAACTTGTTCCTTTACTTCAATCTAACCTCCCACTCTTTGCGCCTTAACCACATTCCCCTTTAATCGAAGGTCTAGGCATTTGTTTAACTTGTCTCTCTGTGGCATTTATTTTTTTCCCCAGTGACCTCAGTAACAACAAGTTGTCGGGCACTATACCGGACCGTGTCACAGGCTTGGTCTACCTCACACTGCTGTAAGGCTCACACTGCTGTAAGGCTCACACTGCTGTAAGGCTCACACTGCTGTAAGGCTTACACCTAGCATGCTCATCCAAGTAGCCCCTTCCCCTCTCCACGCGGCCCAGTAAGCTGTTGCACGGGCCCATGCTCTGTTGCCATCAGTTGATGACTTGCATACCTGCCTGTTCGGCTACTTGCCTCAGTACACTGTTGCTTGGTTGCCATGTGTGTGTAGACCCTGCTCCCAGCCTTACCCACCTCGGGACCCAAGGAAGCTTACCCACAGCAACCATGCCCAGCTCATCTTATTGCCAATGCCTGCTCCCTTGTCCCGCTGCATCTGTTTGCTTCCTTGTTGAATCACTCTTGCTTTCTTTTCATTGAATCTGTCTGTGAATGTCCACCTCCGTTTTTGTTTTGGCAACATGAAGGGACCTGAGCTCAAACCGTCTCACTGGCACCATACCCCAAGGGCTTTCAACTCAAACTAAACTAGAAGTGCTGTAAGTCCCCCATACACCACCAACCCAGTTTTCCAATCATATTCCAACACTCTAATGTATTTCTTTCATCTTTGCACTCCCAGGCTCCAACCATGTCGATAAGAGTCTTTGCCCTTGTGTATCCGCTCTCCCCCGTTTTATTCGATCCGTTCCCCATCCTCCCATTTTTACCCACAGCAACCTGAGGAACAATCTGCTGACAGGGAAGGTCCTCGAGCCCGTGCCACCAGCAATTAAGACGTACAAACTAGACAGCAACTACTTGAGTGAGGGGTTCTCCTCCCCTCCACCATGCGGGCAGGGCTACATCACTTACCACAGCAACTGTGCAGCCACGCCAGCACAGGGCCTTGCATGTGCAGACAGCCCTCAGAAGACTGACCCTGTGTGCACTGCCTTCTGTGGCGTCAACGGCACCGCCTCCCCCCCTGTTCCCGCCTGCAACGGCCATGGCGTGTGCTTCTTGGACGGCCCCAGCAACACGCCCACATGCCTCTGTGTTGATAACTACGTGGTTGGGGAGTTCCCCGGCAGCTGCGTGCCTGTGGCAGGTGAGCCACTCACAGTCACAGCTTCCCTCATGCATAAAGCATCCCGTGGTATGCGTGTCTCTATTTCACCCACACCGATATGACTCTGCCAAGCACACCACATTCTCGTGATTGTCTTTTTCAACTGCCTTTTTGGTGGCTAACGAGTGCCCCCCTTGAGAACACAGCAGACCCCTTTCTGAACTTGCCTCTCCAACCATCTCTGTGCCCCGCATCCCACCTTCAGGTGGTAAGACAGAGCAGCAGCAGACCCCTACAGCAGCCACGCTCACAGCCACTGGGGACGCCTCAGTGAATGCTGCAACAGCCACGCTCACACTCACGCCCGCCCAGCCGTCCAAGGCTGGCAGTGTGTTCCTAGCAGCGCGTGTGCCGCTCTTCTCCTACCAGCTCATTGGGGACTCCTGCGGCCGCGAGCTCGCCTTCTCCTCCAACTTCTCCTTCACTCTCACCCGCCCTGCTGCCTCCGGCTCAGAAGGCGTTGCCTTCGTGGTGGCCTTTGATGCCACCCCGCCCACAACACCGGTGGCGGGCGGCATGGGGTATGCGGGGATGGGAGCGCGCAGCGTGGCAGTGGAGTTTGACACGTCGATGGATGCGGGCAACAGCGACCCTGACAGCAACCACGTGGGCATCAACATTGGCGGCAGTGTCAAGTCGGTGGTGACGGCCAAGCCCAGCACCCCTCTCAATGACGGCACGCCCAAGCACGTGTGGATCGACTACGACCCTTCCTCCACTGGCTCCCTGCGCATCTTCCTCTCTTCCCAGGAGTCCCCTCGCCCCACCACCCCCATCCTGTCAGCACGCATCTCCCTGTGTGAGGAGCTCGCCCCAACCACATCAGAGTACACCTTTGCCATCGGCTTTACTGCTGCCTCCGCCGCCCAGGCCCAAAGCCATGTCGTCTCCGCCTGGACCCTCTCCACCTGTGAGTGCACCTCTCCACCTGTGAGTTCACCGCTGTCCTTCCTTGTCTCTCACTTGCTGTTCCCGCCTTATGCCTTTGGTGAGGAAAGAAGTCTGATGAGCAATGGCATAGAAGTCTGATGACCAAGCTACGATTTGTTTTGTCCTTTTTCGGTTTCTGCTTTTCTTTTCTTTCCGTTTGTGTGCAGACTTTCCCATCCAGCCAGATCCAGGTACGATATTCTACCGTTCTTGTTTTGCTCCTTTTGAGGCTGGCATTAGAGTTGCACACTTGGACCAGTTTGGGTTTGGGTGCTGATTGATTTTTTTCAACAATCCTCGTCATGTCTACCTTGTACCCTTTCAGTTGCAGCGTGGGGATTTACCTTTAGCGAAGCGGCACTCTCTCTATCGAGGATGAATCTCTTCTTCCGCTATGCCAGCTCGGGCAGCGTTGCCGCTGAAAATGGTCGGGACGTGTATGGTGTGCGCCCTGCAACTTCCTGGGCTAGGCCTGACTTCACATGGCCTGTCAAGACACAGAGCGCTTGCGGTGAGTACGCTTGAACCTGCCACGCCATGTCACACGACGTTGACACTCTTTCAGGATGCAGGGTTCCTTCACTGTGTTTGTAGGGTGCTTTCAAGATGGTGTAACTGGCTTTCTCTAGGTGAGCTGAGACAGCTGATCAAAGCTTGTAACGTAAAGCTGGCAACGTGCATAAACGGGAGAAGTAACGACCTACTTCGTGGCACGCAAAACAAAAGATGTTTTGTATTAGAACGGGGAAGAAGAAAAAGAAAAGAAAGAAAAAAACAAACAAAACAAAAAAACGTGGAGTTTTTAGTTTCTGCTTTTTGTTTGATTATGCATAAGGAGAGCAGAAAGGCTTAATAATAGCTCCTGTGAAGTCTATGCATTTTAACATGTGTGTGTGTGTGATACAATCGTATGGATGTGCATGGCTTAAGTGTCAACGGGAATTGGGTGTGGCCCCGTCCACGCTTGGGCGGAGCCGACTTAGTGGTCGGGTGTGAGGGGAGCAGCCGACCTGCAGCAGTGGGCGAGGTGGTCGACAGGGAAGTCGACCTACACGGGGGCCACTGCATGGGTGCCGACTTCAGGATGACGCCGACTTCGGGGTGGTCGACCTGGTGGTCGACCTGAGGAGCGTGGTCGACGAAGAAACGCCGACGTCGACCTCGACAGAGGACGTCGAGTAGCAGGGCGCCGACTTCGGGGAGGTCGACTTGGGAGGTCGACCTGTGTAGGGCGTCGACTTGGTGACGCCGACCTGGAGAAGCCGACTTGGGAGGTCGGCTGACAATTGTGCTGGTCGACGTGGAGCTGGTCGACCAGGAGTGACGTCGACCAGTGGAGCTGGTCGACCAGTGGAGCTGGTCGACCAGGGGTGTGGTCGACCTGATGAGATCGACTGGAGGTGGCCGTCGACTTGGGAGGTCGACGAGCACATACAGGAGCAGCTGGTCGACGTGGTTGCCCGGTCGACCAGGTTACATGGGTGACGAGGTTCTGCGGAGGAGTGCGACGGTCGCCCATGCGATGTTGGCAAGACCGACCTCGATGGTGGTATCCCGAGGCCGACGTGGCGGATCGGGTGCAGTCGTCAGCACAAGGACGACTTTGTGTGTGCGCTGTGCAGGTGACGAGGCACAGCACGCCAATCATCTGCGAGCACCTGCGAAGAAGGTGCGCTGCTGTTCCGCGGGAGCAACGCTGGCACGCCGTCAACCTGCAGCGTTGGCACGCCGACGACTTTGCACTGCTGGAGCGAGGTCGACCAAGTCGTGCTGGAACGCGGTCGACCAAGCTGCGCTGGCAGTCGACCGACCTGAATGCTAGCCCTGATGTAGTCTAGTCTTGCCAACCTAATTGTACCATTGTTGTGAACTTTTGCTAGTGAAACTCTTGCCAACTTTCCCCGTGAACCAGCAAGTAGTGCAAGGACAAGTAAACGACTAACGAACGAGCGCAGAGATCACACGAGCACTCGTGCCTAGCCCGTAGTCTAGCTGTCGTTGTAGTAGTTATCTCCGCATTAAATAGGGTTGAGCAAGAGGCGAACAAGAACGTGTTCGCGTTCGCCCTTGCACGAATACTGCCGTTCGGCGAACCGAACAGTGTTCGGTTCGCCGAACAGCAAAAGCAAAAAAAGATGTTCGCCGTTCGCATGTGAAGGCGAACACCTTGCTGACGCAGGCGAACACGAACGTGTTCGTCGCAAACACGTTCGTGTTCGCCCCGAGGACACCGTTCTTTATAATCACATCAGAGGGAAAGTGAATTTGGGTAACTTCAATGTTGGGTACGCAACTTTGTAGTGTTATGGCGCCAATACTAGCCTAGGGCGCCAGCCATCCTTAGACTAGCTTAACCTAAGTAGACTTACTATTTTTGCTAAGTCCTATTGGAAAAGGTGTTAATGGCGTGATGTGAGGGGGGCGTGGTAGTAATGGTTGCTGCTGCATAGCGCGACTATGTGTGAGCTCAAATTTGAGCTCAAATTGTTTGTCCCGCGACCTAAATTTCAGATCGCAGGAAAGTCGCGACGAACACATGCGTGCTCGTTTTTGCCCCGAAACAAACACGAACATGTTCGGGTGAACACCGAACACGTTCGCCACGAACGATTTAAACAAAAAAAAAATCCTGTTCGATTCGCCTCGAAACAGGTGTTCGTTTGCTTGCTCAAGCCTAAGTGTAAGGTACACCGCCTCAAACCTCGTTACACAATATAAAGGCCTGATTGTTAGTGTTAGCCCTCAATCTCACATTTTGTACTTGTACTTCTTATATCCTAGTTTAGTGTAGTTTGCACTTTGTGTTTGGTTGGGTGTACACCCACATCCCAATCAAACCCAAATGTGATCTCCAGCAATTTCCAACCCACCAATTGGAGATTGCCTCGGGATTACCCCCAATCCCCTAGGATAGCCCCTGATTCCCTCCCCATCCATACCTTGCTCATTTCTGATGTACTTGAAGAGCTTTCAGCTCACTACCAATGTATCGATTCTAAGCTTCAGGTCTGACATGGTATTAGAGTGTTTCAACTGCACACGCGGATTGTGATCCTCTTACCTTTGCGGATCATCATCTCGCACTCTTCAGCAAAGCCGCTTTCCATCCCATCGCCGTTGATTCGCGACATCCATGGCTGTAATTTCTCCCGTGCCACTCCTTACCGTCGCGACGACTTCCGTGATTGTTTGTTAAGCGAATCACCAGCTTAGTGCTTATCTATAATTTTCCCCGATCACGCAACACGTCTCCTCCTCATTTGGGTGCCGCCCGTCGCCCTGCAGCATCACTCACTTCTCGTCGGGCTGCCGCACGTCGCCCTGCAGCTTTTCGTCGGGCTGACGCTCGTCGCCCTGCTGCATCATCTTTGGGCTGCCGCCCGTCGCCCTGCAGCTTCTCGTCGGGCTGCCGCCCGTCGCCTTGCAGCGTCATCTTCGGGCTGCCGCCCGTCGCCTTGCACCTTCTCGTCGGGCTGCCGCCCGTCTCCCTCCAGCGTCATCTTCGGGCTGCCCGTCGCCCCGCAGCATCTTGTCGGGCTGATGCCCGTCGCCCCGGAACGGCACTTCTCTTCAACTTCGGGCTGTCGCCCGTCGCCCTGCAGCGGCTTTAGCTGAAACCTTCCTCAAAATTCTCCTTCGTAAACCCTACCTTAAAATTCTCCTTCGTAAACCCTACCTTTAAATTCTCCTTCGTAAACCCTACCTTAAAATTCTCCTTCGTAAACCCTACCTTTATATTCTCCTTCATAAACCCTACCTTTACATTCTCCTTCGTAAACTCTACCTTACAATTCTGCCTAAGGCGACCTAAGAGCGGCACTCCGCGCGGAAAGAGAAAAATAGTGTCATCATGGCGTTCGCTTCCTCCAATATCGCGAATCCCATCACCCCTTTTTGCCTCGAAGCCGACGACACAAGCTCCAACTACAAGGCATGAAGCTATTGGGTTGACAAGCACCTCTTGAGTCATGAGGTGCAAGGGTTGGACCTCAAGGATGTCCTGCTCAACCATGGCAAGGGAAAACAACCCCCCGTCCCCACGGCGCTGACCGATCCTACTAATGCAACGGCTACTATTGAGTACGAGGAAGCCGTTGACAAATACCGCCTTGGGAGAAGGCCAATGCAGCTATCATTAGCATCTTCATCGGCACTACCCCACCCGATCTGGTCAGCACCTTTCACAACTACCCTACTTCCAACGCCATATGGAAGCATCTTCAAGTTTCGTTTTATGAACAAAACGGCGGTTGGTGTGGCAATTCTCATACCGAGATTGTTCCAAGTCTGCTTTGAAAACTCCCCAGGCATGGTCGACCACATTGCCAAAGGTCAAACCATTCATGACGAGCTCAGGGAACTCGGGATCGTCGTCCCTGAGCAAGCTCTCGCAGCCGCTCTTCTTGTCGGCCTTACCTCGGCATACGAAGTCACGAAGAAGGTGCTCCTCACACTCTCTGCAGAAGACCTCACATTTATCAAGGTCTCTTCCGCACTCCTCACCGCCGAGAACGACACCACCGCTCAAGCCAAGGCCTACGCCCTCCGTGCCCCCGTGCCTCAAGCAAGTGTTACCTCGGCGCCATTTCAGCGCAACCGCTTCCATCCATGCACCTACGTCGTCAAATATGGCAACCGCAAGGGACAAGTGTGTGGTGGCACTAACCACCCCTTCCGCTACGTGCTTCAAGAAGGAAAGCGATGAATGGCATGCCATCCATGGAGTCGACAAGAAACGGCCTGGATGCGCCCTCGTAAGGTCAACCTAGTTGAGGCATTAGAACGCCCTCAGACTAGTGCTATTGATAGTGCTCCTGCAGATGTGCGCATCAACATGTTGTTTTCTGGCACTGCCATGATTAACGAAGCGACCTCGCAGTACATCGGCTCACCACAGGAAACACACTTCATAGAATTCACACTCGACAGTGGGGCCACTCACACAGTGCTCAAGGAGAAACACTCCTTCCAACCCTACTCAACACCCATTCCTCTCGTAAGAGCTGATTCGAGCTTCACCACTCATGCTACATCACAAAAACCCTATGCCAAGTTTGGACGAATTTTGATTTCGATTGTCTTCGCGTAAAAAAATCCGGAGCCAATTTGGACCGACGGTTGGAGTCATTTGATAGGAGCTCCGAGACACATCTCGCGATAAGGTTTGGCTCGGTTCAAGTTCCAATTTGGCACGCGAGCTTTTCCGGATGACATTCGGGCGCAATCCGTTTTGTTGCAAATTCGTGACCAAATTATTCAAAACTAAATTCTGTTTTTGTTCATTTTGGATATTGAGGATTTCAAAATTGCATTTATTATTGCGGTTTACAAGAACCATTATTCAGCATTCTAGCAACAAGCAGTCTTAGCACCAGGTCAAATAGCCTACGCACTGGCGGGCCTTGAAAGCGCCCGGTGGGCAAGGACGACATCTCCAAGGTCGCCGTCGTCGATGAGGAACTTGTTCGGAAAGACGAACGCACCCATAGCCGGATCGTGGGGGATCCTCCG